CCTAAGCTGTTATCGACATGCTATCGATATATCGGTTAGGTAGCATTTACTCATCGCTTGATTGATATGCCAAATGCAACTGGAGAAGATCGAAATATATATATCAAATTTAAGTCTTTTTATTCCACCTACGCAAAGATTTCTTTATTGATCTTTAGCTGTCAACAATAAATTTATTTAATTTATTTACATTCTACAGCCTGTGTATTTGTGCAATCCTTTCTTTATTCATTCGATTGGCAACTGAAAGGCATTTATTGTGACGCATCATTTGACGCTGTCGCGGCGTATTAGCTGCTTAATGTTTGCCGTGTCTACTCAGACTTCTAATTTCACATACAGCTGTCTAAGCAGGTGTATGCATGCATGTGTGAGTGTGTGTGCATAAGCTGCTAATACAATTCACAAGACGTATATATGCATGTCTTAAAATCTAATCGGTTTCTTGGGAATTCGAACTTTGCTTTTAAGCTGGCATGAAAGAGCTGATTGATAAAGTGCCTGACATATGACACAGATCCTAATTGAATGGCCTTGCATATATAAGATATTCAATTGGAAAATTGTAAAGTTCGATTTGTGATATATTTGATGAAATGGAATATGTGCAACAACTTTCGACGAATTTCTAGAATATTCATATGACTTATGTAGCATCGACACACTTTGTTTATTATATATGCTTTTGAATATCCTTCATGCATACATAAAACAGTTTTGGGCATTTGCAAATTATTTTTGGATATAAACACATTTATTCTCTTAGGTCCCGTTTTATTTTTAAAACTGTAATGAATGGGAGTTTAAAGGCTTTTGCCGACGCGATCTCAACTTATTCTTTTTTTGTCTTTTTGGTCTTTGTCAGCCCAGAGCAAAGTTGCCTTTTGATGACCTTTTTATAACTGTTTGCTTGTGTTGTTGTTGTTGTTTGGTTTTTACCTTTATCACACCACATTGTTAGCTGTTTTATTTATGTGAAAAGTTGCACAATTAAGTTGTATTTTACTGCAAAATAAAAATAATTACTTCAACTTGTTGTTCAGCATGGCAATAATTATTGTTCTCGCTCTCTCTCTCTCTCTCTCTCTCTCTCTCTCTCTCTGTCTCTCTCGCTCTCTCTTGATGAATATACACAAATATATATGAATGCAAATGCGAAAAGTGCGAGAAACTTTGTCGTCAATGCTGCATGTTCTCCAATTTGGCGTGACAAAACTTAATTAAAGCCCAACTCGGTCAGGACAATGGCAACATTTGTCATCGAGCATATATATTTATATATATGTATATACATGTATATGGCTCATTATAGCTCGCGACCCAGCGACCTTGAACGCAACTTGTTTCAATGAATGCCATACATATTTAACCAGCCAAGAGAGCTCTGTAAGGCTGCATAGTACTCGTTCAGTAAGAGCTTTAATTCATTCGGAAATATTGATATTTCCCGAAAGTTCGTGTTGAAATGGAGGCTATATTTCCTGTATAGGAAATGAATATTGAGATGTTTGTAAAGCATTTGAATTACTTCTGTCTACAGATTGAAATTAGTAACTGAACCAAACTGTCAAAATGTGATTCTAATTCAAGTTGAAGCAGATTAGTTGTTAGAAGTTATAAACATTGCTCTACATAAGGGAAAGATATAGTCTTTAATCCATGAAAAAGTAGATATATATATGCGGCATCACTCTCAAATATCAGTTAAATGTCTGATTATTAACGCTCTGTTATATAGATTTAGACTCAGTCGCAATATCACTCGCTCTCGCTCTGAACAAGAGCCTTCGGTTCATTTCGTTTTGTTTTTCTGTGTCAAGCGCCCCGAGGTGAACTATTCGTATGACACTCTTTCCACGAACATCACCCAGAGAGAGATACGTTCTCAGAAAGGCGCTTAATAAGAGAAGAAACGGTCTTTGCTCTCTTTGCATCCACATGAACACAATCAATTCACGAATGCAATTAAAGTGTTTAGTTGAGAGTAGAGTCTGAGAAATCAGAAACGAATATAAAAATTCTTAATAGTTATTACCATATGGAAATATATAAGTATATACAATTCTATATATATGTACATATATAATCAGATCAATAATATGCATAAAAGAATGAATGTTTAGCATGCACATAAATCAATATTCATTGTAATTACTGTAGAGGCAGGAATGAAGGAAGATATTATAAAAGCTGCAGTACCAAGATTAATTAATACATTGTAGTATGCTGTATTTCATATAAACTCTTCTCTTATGAACAACCATCAAAATAAATATATTTGCATTTACAATTCATGAGTGATGATATATATCACGTGGGCTATTGATTCTAAGATACACTCATGAGTCTATAGCATAACCTATATACCTATTAAAATATATAAACAGACAAAAGGTCAGACGAGCTAACACCCATACCCGTAAGCCAATATACTCTCTTTCAGACAGCAAGAAGAAGCATCTGTACATAAATTAAATGCAATTCGCAGAAAACATTGTTTTTACATTAACAGCTGTCAGCTTAAGCATATATATGTATGTATATACTATATACCTTATATTTATATATGCATGCGAATACAATATTTAATTAAAAAGTGAGCTTTTGGCGCATTAAGTTGAATGTCATTTTTGGTTTTTCGGTCATTCGGCATTTCATAGAATTGTCAGGGGGCGTAAAGTCTCGCTGTCCTGTGCTTTGCTTCATAACACATTGGGCACAACACACAATTTATATAAAATTTTAATAAATGTCATGTATGCTGTACGTTGCATGTTGTGTATTCGTGTGTGTGTGTGTGTGTGTGTTTGTGCTGAAGTGATTGATTTATGTCACAATATTTGCCCGAACAAAATCCATTGCAATCTGTTTCGTTGGCAAAAGCCGTGTGCAATTGCCAGAGTCCAGAGGCCGGCGCTGCCTTTGTGCCAGGTGAGCAAACAGGTAAGCAGCCACAACGCTGGGCAACAAATCAACCTAGCTACGTGTGTATGGGTGTGTGTGTGTGTGAGTGTGTGTGATTTACAAACTGTGCAAAATTAATTTCAACAGCTCGCCCAACGCCACACATCCAGACGCTGTGAATGTATTAAAACCTATTTGTATACAGCCAGCAGAGTTGGCTTAAATATTCTCATGAAAGTGCTTTTTACCCAAACTGCAATAATTAACTTCTGTTTGCCCTGGCCGTATTATAGCTGGCTTAAATGGCTACCCATAGCCGGGGCTCACTGTTGGCCAACGAGACAGCAGTTTGATACAAATTTATATTTAGATTCGAGTTGACTGCATCAAATCAGAATATCCTTTAGATATTCTGATACGATTTCAGTTGAGAACTGAGCTTATGCTTGGGCAACTACTGAATGATTATAAGAGAGATTCAGAGACTATCTCCCTGAGTCCTTCATCATCTCCCTCTCTCGCTCTCTCTCTCTCTCAGTCTCATTAGAGTCCACTGCATCGAATCAGAATATCGCTTAGATATCGTTTAGATATTCTGATACGATTTCAGTTGAGAACTGAGCTTATGTTTGTGCAACTACTGAATGATTATAAGAGAGATTCAGGGGCTATTCATCATCTCCTCCTCTCTCTCTCACTCTCATTAAATCTGAATATCGTTTAGCTCTCATGGAAACATTTTAGCTGAAAGCTGAGCTGAGGCTTGGGCAACTGCTCAATTTTATTACTAAGTAACTCTGATCATCTAAACGAGAGTGGGAGAAGTTCAGAGCCTCTTTTTTGTTGTAACTGCATCTCATCTCTCTTCGCCTCTCTTCGCCTCTCTTTGCACAGCTGCATCAAACTTGTTCAGACCGCATTGCAAACTTTATAGTTGAGCCGCTATCATAACTAAAGTTCTATCAGCTATAATCCATATATACATACAGATTTTTTTATATAATCTCCTTTCAGGCGCATGCAAAGGCTTCTCGGAACTGTGCTCCCTTTTACTTATTCTCATTTCAAAATTTGATTTAATGAAAATTAGTTGTAAGAAACTTTCGGTTTCATTTTATATACACGTATTTTTTTTTTTCACCGAACTGCTGCAGTTGTCAGGCTCAAAGAGAGCCGAGCGCAAAAACTTCAATTCGATTTATATTTTTGGCTTTCAATTTTGCGGTGGCTGTCGCCAGCGTTAAACGAGCGAATTTCTCTTCGGCTGTGGGAGAGAAGGCCAGAACTGTCAAAGCATTGCGAGAGATCTTCAAGCCAACTGTCATAAATGTCGACATCATTAAAATGTCATAAAGTTTGGGCGAAAGGCACAGACAGCGGACAACAACAGCAGCAACGACGATGGCGATGGGCGAGGGCGATGGCAGTAAGTAGTTGGCCCCAGAAATGTGCAAAAATTTCGCGCACTTCCTTTTAACATTGCGCATCCTACTGGCTGGCTGTTTATTTTTTGGCGGCGCTTCCTTTAGACAAACCGCTGCGGATGCAGCCGAATGAACCAGCCCAACCCAGGGCGAACCCAGCACAACCCATGCAGCCAAGCGCCACAATCTGAGGCTGCACTTGCTGTTAAATGACAAAGCAAGTTGCAAAAACTATTTCCTGTAAAGACACAGTGAGAGAGAGAGAGAGGGAGAGGGAGTGGGAGTAAGGGAGAGTGGGAGTGGGGCCGAGTCAAAGTCGAAGCAGTTCATGAAAATTTCATTTCATGAAAATACTCGGAGCTGTATTATTATTTTTTGATAGCACTTACTGCCAGTGCACACGCTTCACAGTGATGGCATTTAAAAAGTTTCACAGCGCTTATGTGCCATAACAAGTCTATTAAACGGCTCCCAGTGGGCGTGGCAAATGATGCGTTCAGCGAACTAGAGCTGGCGCATTAATCATACGCACCGTGCGCCATACAAATATAAATCCGGAGCGGGCGCGCGCTAAAGCGACCAAATAAAACCATAATCGTTTATTGAACCGAAATCGAAGCCATTAGAAAGCTGCACATATATATACACATTATACATATATATATATATATGTATATCTATAGAGCCAGAGAGCATTTTATTTTGAAAGCTAATTAAGTGCGGCCATTAGATGCGCGCAGCGTTGCCCTAACAACAGCTGAAAGTGGCTGCGATTTTGAAGCCCAGTTCGATTAATGAGGCGCAACAAGAAAACACGCATAGAGTGAGCAAAGGAGAAAGAGAGAGAGAGAGAGAGAGAGATAGAGTGAGAGGGAGTAGGGCAAAGTGTCTGGTCGTCGAACACATTGAATTAAAGTTCAATTGGGCAAATCAAGCCAAGGGTCGTTAATAAGGCTACTAATAGCCCGTAGAGCTGCCTCAGAGCACCGACTCGGGTAATGTAGTCTTTTTGGATGTTCCCTTGGTTTGCTTACGCTTCTTCAGGTTTCTGGTGGACCTCAGGGGCGGCAGCTCCGAGGTGTCGTCCTCTGAGTAATCGGAGGACTCGGACTCGTACGGATCCTCGACAATGACCACGCTCATCTTGCGTATCAGCACAAAGACCAGGCCGATGATTGAGGCTATGCAGAGGGCGATGTTGTCGCGTGCGATTTGCCTCTCGATGGTATTCATGTCCTCGTAGAAGGGCTCCCCGCAGCCCTTGCAGAGCGGCAGGCCGCAGCAGACGTCCTTCGACCAGGGGCGCTCGGTCAATATGTAGTCTATGACGCCGTGCATGCCACAGCAGTCGTAGAGCAGCTCAATCTCCTTGTACCTGCCATTGTGCCACAAGTACTGCAGCATCATGTCCGTGAAGTATCGAAACCTGTTCGCGTACAGGAAGCGTGACATGGCGATCGACAGCGACAAGTAGGCGGCGTAGGCGCCGAGCAGCATGTAGACGAAGAACTTGAAGATGGTCATCGAGCGCGAGAGACGCATGCCCAGGATGCTGTTCACGATGACGATGCACAGAGTGATGGCGCGCGCGAGCGTCACGCGGGGTGACAGACCCACCAGGGATATGCTCGTGTTGAGGCCCTCGACGCTGCGCCGAGAGGCATGATTGTACAGATCGAACAGGAAGAATATCGCCACGCCCACCAGCAGGATGTGTATCTCAATCACCAGGCCTGGCGACACGCTTAGACACCGACGGACCTTTGTCATGCCGACAGTCGAGTAGAGCAGCTGCTGCTCCTGCTCCTGCTCCTGCTGTTGCTGCTCCTGCTGCTGCTGCTGCTGTGAAATGCGATGCAATGTTTATTTACTTTGAAGTTGGAAAAACATTTGAGCGCAGCTGTCGTTTCGCTTTTCGCTTTTTGCTTTCCATTTGAAGTTGACCTCAAAGCCAACTGTTGATTTGCCTCACTCAGTCTCCTGCTCTCTCTCGCCCTCTCTCTCTCTCTCGCCTGGGCTAATATCAACATTTCGCAGTGTCCTTCAGACTTGTTGCTGAGGTTTCAAGTGCAAATGAGTTTACTTTTCGGCAATAAAATGCGCCACCTGTTGCCAGCTCCACTGCCAAGGCCAGCAAATAAAATGGGGGAAAAAAATGGAGAGCAGCCACAGCTAGAATAACAGCCAGCTGAAAATAAATATTTGCGCGACAGCCAACTTGATGTTGATTGCTCATGAGGCGCAACCACAGCCCATGCCACTGACTTTCTCCCTCTCCCCCTCTCCCCCTCCCTCTCTCTCTCACACTTCAAAGCCAAAAAACAAGTCGCGCTGTTGTTTGTCAACACGAGACGCTGTACTCGCTGGCTCAGGTGTGAGCTATGCGCAAATTCTTGACACTGCAGCGAGCATTTCTTTGGTTTATTTATATTGGCTTAAAGCAGTTCACATTTCATCAACTCTTTGGGCAACACTCGCCCACGCTTAGGTGACTGATAATTCAATCAAGTCTTTGTGAGATCATTGTCAGGCTTGACGGCATTTGTGCAGTAGGCAATTCCTTAAGTAATCCTCGCCGCAGAAGGTTACTTGGGCGATATTATTGTAGTTATTTTTGTTTGAGTATCCATTGGGGCTTGGGTTAGGTCTCAGAGTTAGCTCAGCTGTTGCTTAAGAAACTCTTGGCTAGGGTCTTACCAGCTCTTTTATGATCAATTGAGTGAAGCAGTTTCTACTCTCTACTCTCCCTCTCTCTCTCTCACTCTCCCTCTCTCTCTCTCTCACTCTCCCTCTCTCTCTCTCTCGCTCTCTCTCTCTCTCTCTCTCTCTTTCTCTGTCTCTCTCTCTTCTGGGATTAATTCAGCTCTCACTCAAGTAATTTTAGCTCTCATTCAAGAAACTCTCTGAGCAACTCTTATCAAATCTTATGTTGGGTCTCACTCAATCCACTCTTTGGGAAACTCTCGCTGAGCCATACTTCCCCTCTCAATCCAGCAACTCCTTGAGCAGCTCGCATCTAAGTTTGCGTTAGCACCTCTTTGGGCGAGTCTTGCCTAGGCTTACTACAGCTCAAAACAAATCTCGATTATTATTTAAGCAACTCTTTAAGCAACCCACGTCGAACTCTACTTCAGCTCTCAGTCAAGCAGAACAATGCTCACTCAATAACTTCCCACTCACTTAGCTCTATGCCTAACTTTCTTCTTTACTCTTCCCCGACTCCATTGGCAGCCCTCGCTCGACTATTTGGCACTCAATCAATGTGCGATTTTAGCACACCTTTAAACTGTTAACAGGTCAGATCATTCACCTGGACACTTTAAGTGTCGTAACTGGCAAAAGTCTCACGTGAGTGAGAGGGGGAGAGTGAGGGAGAAAGTGAGAGTAAGAGTGAGCCTGAGTGAATATAAAATTAAAACCCAATTCATGCCTGTGACAGATGTCGTCCTCGATTGGGTCCACACTCAACAGGCCACAGGCGCAGCTGCATTGTGTTCATTTAATTAAGAAGCTGCGACATATTTTCGACCAGGCACCAAAAAAAGGTGCCAGAGCCAAAAGCGGAACACTGAAAAGTTTTTAATTAACCACTTTAAATTCAAAGCCTTTCCATTCGAGTTGGCCAGCAAGACGTTCGAGTGCTCGCATCTAACTGCGAGCGAGTCGTTAGGCAATTTAAAAATATAAATAAACGTAACAGAAACATTTCAGTTTCCCTCTCCCGCTCCGCTCCCCCTCAAAATAAAACACAATAAAATGGCCGCAACGGCGCTTCCGCTTTGCCGACAAAAATGTCAACGGGCCAAGAGAACAATGAATGCGGCGGCGGAAACGGCGGAAGAAAGCCAAAAATTCATTGCGCCCAGGGAATTCATAACGGATATATCTGCCTTATAGCGGACACGATTGCATTTAGGGAATCGCTGGCCAAACCAAATATTTTACCAGCAACTTGACGTGATATTTACGCTTTTATTTCTTTTTATATATGAATGAGAATATTTAAAATAATTGAGGAATACCCTTACACAATGTGCAAAGGGCTGGCTTGTTACTATACATATTTGATCTATATAATGCCAGTTTATTTACCTTACTTTACACCGTATCTAGTAGTCGTTGACACATAGGATTTTGCCTTGATAATACTTTTATAAATAATCGACAATCCTTTGTTGAACTATATGCTTAATGTGCTTATCGCTGGCAGCATATTATTTTTAATTAATTGAATAAAAGCTGAAATATCTGGCTTGAAGCATTGCGATAATTGCACTGCAGATCCGCAGCGCAAATATTATAATATAAAATAAATAAATAAATAATAAAATAATATACTTTACGCTTAAATGCAGCTTGATGCCATATTTTCACAAATGTGTTTCTTTTATTTTTGTTTGTTTTTTTTTTTTATACTCTAGCTGAAGGTAAAACTGTATAGAGTAGCTTTGCTTAAAAAGGACTTGAAATTAAGGAAAATCTATTTATTTATTTATTTTATTATTTTTATTTTATTTAAAAAATTCATTGTCAATGTCTAACAAACACTTAACATTTCTTTCGAGTTGTTATTTATTTAATTTATTTACTTTATTTATTTATTTAATTTAATTTATTTATTTATTTAATTTAATTTATTTATTTTATTTATTTTATTATTATTTTTTTTATTTCATTTATTTATTTATATAATTGATTTTTTTTTTTTATTTAAAAGAGAATTTATTGGAAGGAATTTCTAACAAATATTTTTACATTTCTTTCAAATGTTTATTTATTTATTTATTTATTTTTTTATTTAAAAGAGAATTTATTGAAAGGAATTTCTAACCAATATTTTTACATTTCTTTCGAGTTGTGATTAGCCAAATAAATTGCCATTTTACATTCTTAAATATAAATAGCCCTGTTTAATATTTATCCCCTTTTTTATCAGGTATATCGTATTTATTTTTGCAACTTTTTGTATTTTTATCCATTCGATTAAAATGATTATTAACTGAGCTTACGCGTCATGATCCGCAATTAAATTTGTTTTACTCGCAATTATCGCGGCATATTTTTGCGAAATATTCGGATAGGGCAATGCGCATTAATCAATGGCTCGCTCTCATATGTAAATACATTTTTATTATTATATATTTAAATTTGTATTTGAGTTTCAATTGTATTGCCATTTGCAATTGTTTTTATTATTAAATGTCGAGCATTGTTTGCATTCGAAGGTGCTTTAAGCAGTCTCGTTGTTGTTGTCGTTGTTGTTGTATTTAAGTGTTATTTAATTACAGTGTTGCAAAGTTTTATAAAACACGTCGACTAATTGAAAGTTGTATGCAGTGGAGCGCCTACGGGGCACAGCGAGCCGAATTAATCAATTATTGACGCCGTATTGTGGGCTTTAACACTTTTAACGCCAAGAGGCAGCGTAAGAGACTTCGGCAATGCGCTGCACGGGCAGTCGGTGTAGTTGGGCAGCGCAGAGAGAACTGAGTGTGGCTGAAGGCAAAGGCAGACCTAATTGATTTGCATGAATTTTTCACCTTGATGCATTGATGGGTTTATAATCGCAGGATGCGTGCGGGGCCTTGAGGCTACGGCTGTTCGGGTGCCTATATAATGCCAGGCTCTGTTGTGGCAGCAGTAGCAAAAGTCTCCAGAGTCAACATGGTGCTGCGTCGCATCTTTCCGAATATGTACCAAGGGCCCGACTCCGGGCACGTCGAGTCGCGCAAGGCTTCGCTCTACCTGCTGCGCTGCATTTTCCTGATGGGCATCAGGACGCCGCCGAAGCGGTTCTTCTTCGTCTACATCCTGTGGTCCTGTGCGCTGAACCTGAGCTCCACCTTCTACCAGCCCATTGGCTTTGTGCTCGGCTACATTTCGCACATTTCCGAGTTTACGCCCAGCCAGCTGCTCACCTCGCTGCAGGTGGCCTTCAATGCCTGGTCCTGCTCGACTAAGGTGATTATTGTCTGGATACTGATCAAGCGGCTCGACCGGGCCAACGAAATGCTCGACGAGCTGGACAAAGTCGTGCGGCTGCCCAGCGATCGGGAGCGAGTGCATCGAACTGTCGTCATGAGCAACAGGATCTTCTTCTGCTACATGAGCCTCTATCTGATGTACGCCTCGAGCACGGCATTTTTCGCCGCCCTGATGGGCGTGCCCTCGTTCCAGAACTACTATCCGGTGCTCGACTGGCGCGCCAGCCGCTTTCAGTTCTGGCTGCAGTCGGGCCTCGAGTACTTCGCCATGCTGGGCGCCTGCTTCCAGGATGTCTGCGTCGACTGCTACCCCGTCAACTATATCCTGCCCCTGCGTGCCCACATGGCCATCTTCGCGGAGCGACTGCGCCAGCTGGGCAGCGATCCCGAGGAGAAGCCGCAGCAGCGCATCGATAAGCTCGTCGAGTGCATCAGGCATCACAAGCTCTTGCTAAGGTTGGTCGGGCAGGCCCCAAGTGAACCTCATTACATTTACTTTACCCTCCCCCTTCCCCCCACCCTCAGCTACTGCGACAATCTGCGTCCGCTGGTGGGCGGCACCATTTTCGTCCAGCTCATGGTCGTGGGGCTGGTCATGGGCTTCACGCTCATCAATATTGCGATATTCGCCAACTTCGGCTCGCGCATCGCCGCCATATCCTTCATGTGCTGCATCGTGCTGGAGACCACGCCCTTCTGCACGCTGTGCAACTACCTGGCCGACGACTGCCAGACGCTGGCCGATGCCCTCTTCGAGTCCAACTGGATCGAGCAGGATAGGCGCTACAAGAAAATCGTCCTACAATTCCTGCAAACTCTGCAGAAGCCGGTCATCTTTCTGGCCGGCAATTTCTTCAGCATTTCGGTGGCCACGAATCTGGCTGTAAGTCAAAGTGTCTTCAGTTGGTTTACATTTTACAGTTTTTGGTTTTCTTAGGCCACCAAATTCTCATTCTCTGTTTTCACGCTGGTCAAGCAAATGAATATAGCCGAGAAGTTGGCCAAGACAACCAGCAATCAATACGAGGAGGCAGTGGACATATAAAAACAAAACAATTTTCATTTGGTATTTTATGATACACATAAACCAAATTGGATCAATAACTGATGTGTTTATGAAATTTGATGTGCACTGTGCTAATTTGATTAAGTATTTACAAACATTAGGCAGACTAAGGCAACATAAATGTTTTTATTTATCAACACTGGCAATTAGTCAATGGCTTAGCTAGCATTAGAACCACGTATAACAGTTGTAGACAGTAGTTGAATTTTTGTAATGATTACTTACCAACCTTAACCTAGGCAACTGTATAACAGTTGCTTTATCTGTGTTTAGCAACGGCGTATAACAATTAGAGATTTTGGAGATTTGCTACTTGTTGAGGCATCATTTGTTATATATAACACTTTTAATCACATATGACAGTTATGATTGTACTTACGTATGTATGTGTTTGACAGCTATGTGCAGCAGCCACTTAAACAGTAACTAGCACCGATTAGGGCTGTGTATAACAGTGAGATACATACTTCTGTTCCCTCAAATATGTTTTGTATATGATTAAAATTGAAATATTTTATTTACCAACACTATTTAGTACTAAAAGCAAATATAACTTTTATTGTTGATAAACAACATTTTGCTTAGTGCAAATTTTTTCACATTTGAATACTACAATATATTAACAGCACTACTAAGTAGCACAGTTGATTTTAAATCATGTGACACTATCATGTTAGAGCAAAATCTAAAATCTAAGACTTACATACATATGCCATGCATACGTATAACAGTTGCTAGTTCTGCGTATAACAGTTATATAAGAAACTTGTGTGGACCACTTAGGTAAATCACTTGCTCAACGCTAAATTGAATAATTGTTAATAAATGTATAACAGTTAAAATGACTCTATTGTCTACATATAACAGTTTGCAAGTAGCTGTATTACTGTTATACCAATTCGTATTTCCTCTCAAGCAGCCCTCTTACTCACTCTTGAATTTATCCGCAATATTCATTTGCTTCGTAATGGTTATGACCGAAAAGGCAAACTTCGCGACCTAAAAACGGGAATAAAATCAAGCAAAAATAATAAAAATTTGCTTTAATGCGATTGCCATTGTTATACATGTATTTTTTTTTTGTGAAACTTACGCTGATGTTGCTGCTCATTGAAATCGGAAAAATGCCGCCGGCTATGAAAACGATGGGCTGCTGCACATTGTGGAGAAAGTACAATAGAGTCGACTGGTAGCGGGAGCCCGAGTCAATCCAATTACTCTGAAAGAGAGCGTGCGAGAGGGCCTCGCAGTCGTCCATAATCAGGTTGCAGGTGTAGCAGAAGGGGAACGTCTGCAGCAGGGCGGTGATGACGAAGAGGAACGAGGCGATGCCCGTCCACAGGTCCGAGAAGAAGAAAACATTGATCAGCGTGAGACCGAGGACGAGGCCGCACAGCAGGAACTGAGTGAAGATCGTGCCCGAGATGACGGGGCGGATGAGAGCGCAGTAGCTGGAGTGGGACGGAGGACAATCATTATGGAGTATAACAGAATGGGTTCTCTTACTCGAGGATCTGCTTATGGTCGATGACGCACTTGACCAGCGCCTCGTAGTTCTCGTCCTCAGTCATGGCGGGGTCCGTGCGCAGGCTGCTAATGCGCTCCCTCAAGATGTCGAGGTGAGTGCGCAGGATGAGGGTGTAGATCAAGGGGTAGGTGTCCGACAGCTGGTCCTGCAGCACAGCCCCGGACATGACGATGTACTCCAACGTGGAGGCGGTCCACAGCTTCAGTACGCCGTCGTGCCAGTCGATGAAGGGATTGTAGAGCTGCCAGGGCGGATGGCCGTTGAGCACGGAGCTGAGATATGTGGAGCCCGCATAGCCGCAGTAGACGATGGTGAAGATGAGGAACGCGTGATTGGCGCGTGCGACGACCAGATGGATTTTCTCGCGCTCCTCGAGACTGGTGCAGCGCAGATCCAGCTTGTCCAGGATGTCCTTGGCCTTGACCAGGCGCCACAGCTGCGAGTAGGTGATGGCCACCTTGACCGAGGATCCATACGCATTGATGCACACCTGCAGCGAGGTGAGAAACTCGCCCGGCGAGAAGTGCTTGATCTCCGTTATGTAGCTGCCCAGGAAGCCGAGCGGCAGATACGTGGTGCACCACATGAACGTGAGCACCGTCCACGTCAGATAGACGTAGCGCAGCATCCCCGACTTGGGCGGCCGCCAGCCAATGAACCTCATGGCTCGATAGAGGTAGATGCAGCCATCCCTGGAGCGCACTTGCTCCGTCAGCGGAGCGGGCTTGGTCAGCGCGAAGAGCATCTCGGCTGCTGTCCTTCTGCTGTGCTGTGCTGTGCTGTGCCCCAGCCCGATGGCTGCACTCGACTTATATACCATCAGACTGCACTCGAATGGCCCGTTGACAATTTGGATAAGTTTTTCCGGCCCCTTTTTTCCGCTTTTTCAATTCAGTGGAAAAGTTTCGCAGCCAAAAAGTTTTGTAGCCGTTCGCTTGTTGTTTTTAATTATTCACTTGAGAATTGCTCGCTCTGCGTCGTTATGTTTAATTAACAGAGCGAGCGTTAAATGTAAGTTCATCTAATTTATTTCATGCATACATACATATATGTGTGTGTGGGTGCGTGTGTGTTTGTCTGGCATACTTCCACATGTCGACTTTCCGGCCTGCATTAATGATGGGCCACTAAAAGTAAAGTTAGCTCTCAGCTGCCTCGACATATTGCTCATACGCAATGTGTGCAGCCCACTTTTTTTTTATTATTTCGAGTGAGGATAAATGGGTAGATGCGACTATAACTGGGTGTCCATATTTGAGTTATGTTGAGAGCCATGAAAGTGTTTACTACTGATAGTAAAAATATTTGAATGATTTTCCGAATTGCACATCATTCATTCAACATTTCTTGTGGAAAATTAATAAATATATTTGTGAATTTCATTTAGAATTAAATCATGTTCAAACAAGTGTCAGAAAAGCATTTGTATTTGTGGAATTTCTCGAATGGAATTCCATCAGCCTTTCATTTTTTCTTTTGCTTAAAGGAAAGCATTTCTGCTCTCATTAAAAATTTGACAGCCTAAGAAAAATATTCACTAACTGGAGATGCCCTAAAGCAGATTTTCATTATACAAGTCCCACTGCATAGGCTTATCTAAAAAATATCAAAAATGCTATAACAAGTATAAAATAATATTTAGCAAGTGCAACATATATTTATTTTTGGAGATAAAATACATCTCTATTGTAATATTAATGTTAAGTATATCGAGCATTTACTGTAAGCACTTTGTAAATCATTTTCTAAAATCTGACGTCATATCTCACCTCATCTCTATTTCATGCTGTTTACAGAGTATTCTATAGTCATGCCAGACTTTCTCTCTCTCTCTCTCACTCCCTCTCTCTGTCTCTGCTTGCTCCCCAAGGTTTTTATCATTGCCATTTCATCTCATATGCAAGACAAAGAGCCCTAATACAAAAATGTGCGCTAATCGCAGGGCAGGTTCAAGGCGTCGTTGAGCTTTCAAGTTCAAATGCAATTATTAAATTGATAACAAAGGGAACTTTAGCATAATCAGCTTTAAATTTGTGTGCCTGAGTGTGTGTGTGTGTGCGTATGTGTGTGTCTCTGCCACTGCTTGACATTTCAGTGTAGCTTTAATGAAAAATATGTTCGCTGAGTGTTATTAATATTCCTCAGAATGTCTGGCGTTTGACACATGTTTTGTTGTCGTGCGCTCGTTGTCGCTTTTGTGTTGTGTGCGTGTGTGTGTGTGTGTGTGTAGGTGTGGGCTGTAGCCACTGCTCCTTTCTCTGTTCATCTTCACTGCCGGCTCCTTTGCCCAAGTTGACATTTTTTTTCATTACTTCAACGTTTCAATAGAAGCAACAGCTACAGCCAGCTGCCTGGCTACAAATGAACGCAAGTGTGTGTTCTCTCTCTGTGTGTGTGTGTGTTTGTGTGTGTCCAAAGGCAGCGCGTGAAGCAAGGGCAAGGATAATCTTTTGTTTGCCATTGTACGACTCACACTTCAGTTACTTTCAGCTGCAAGGTAAGCAGTAGCAGCAGCAGCAGCAGCACCAGCAGGAGTAGCAGCAGCAGCAGCAGGAGCAGCAGCAGCATCTGGGCATACTGAAAGCTGTTTTGGGCACACAACATATTTGTATTTTGCCTTAGCTGTGTATTTGCCCATTGCCACGCCCAGGTGTGCTCATATGCCTGGCTGACAGCATAGCTTACGTGCCGACATCTAACACAATTTATGCAGCATAATAAAGCCAGTGCAGAAGAGAGGGAGGGGTAGAGAGAGAGAGAGAGAGGGCTGCTGGTCAGCTGTGTCTAGCTAGAAAATTTTATTTTTGCAGCCATTGCTCAATCGTATCAATTAAGCCAGCTACTGCTTCTGCTTCTGCCTCTGCTTTGGGTTTGGCTCTGGCTCTGGCTTTGGCTTTGGGGTTTTGGGGTTTCGGATTGCCTTGCTGCAGCGGGCACTTTAAGGCCTCGTCCGCTCAACTAATTGCAGTTGGCGCATGCCTGTCTTTCTTTTTTTGTGTCACGTTTTATTTTTTTCTGGCTTTCGTCCCGGCCTGGGATGTGTTGTATGTGCATTTAATAACATCAGCGAGTCATTTATTATCGCTTGACGTATTTATTTTAATTAACGGAAATTAATGCCACAGTGCGCAGCTGTGCGAACATGTTTGCAGTTGCTTACACACATTTCGGAGGCATGCCTCACACACAGACACACACATACACACAGAGGAAGATAGGTTGCTGCTGCTGCTGGCAAACACCTGACGACGGGCGCACACATGAGCGCACAGGACAGTGCCACCTAAAAGGATGCCACGCACACACGCACACTCAGAGGGCGCATGTATCGCTCAATGTATCTCGTTGAGATCCCAACCAGCTCACACACACACACACACACACACTGGCACTCAGCTAAGAGTGTCAATCTGTTTTTGATATGCTGCAAATTAATGGAGTTAACAACGAGGCGGTCTGCCAGCTTTTGCCTGCGTGCACACATACATAGACTGACACACACACACACACACACACATATATATACATATATATATATCTATCTAGCTGCTCAACATGTTTATTTTGATGTAATATTTGTTTAATTCGTGTGACTGCACAATTTATTAATCATTAGCAAATCACGTTTTTTTTTTTTGTCCTAAATTTAGCTGCTTACAGCGATGCTCGCTCATGGAGTGAAAGGGGAGTATATGTGTTGGATATAAGCGCAGATGACCGTACATATTAAAGCACTTAGGGCGGGCAGAAGGTTGTTTGTGAGAGAGGGCAAAATATGCTCGTGTGTATCTATTCGCATGTACCTTATCAGGCATTGGGGTGGTATATATGAGGGTCTATACAAAGTGTTAATTATGATATTTTCAACAGTAATTAGTTGGCGAAATAAAGCCAGCGACTAGCTATAGAGACAGATGGCAATGCCTGAGAAAATTATCAAGAGAATATATCTAGGCTGAGGCATCGCTCAAAACTTTATCAGCAGAGTCCTAGAGCACGAAATTTGTGGTACGATTAGTGTAGTCAGGAAACTTATTAAGAATTATTTAATTAAATTCATATGCTCAAATTCCAATTATCAAATAAAATAAGTTAAATAATCGTCAATTATAAAATATAATAAAATGTATTAAATATATATAAATATAGAGTATTATATATAATTATATATGAATATGAAGCCAAAGGCCCCAGTTGCCAGTGCTTAGTTCTTAAGTTAGTCGGAATTTTATATTAATTCTAATCTTTAATAAATACATGTATGAATATATTATATATATATCTCCATTGATTTATATACACGCAAGTTTTATTAGTATGCCAAAAGCTTAAACACTTTAATCAGCTGTGCATTTTTGCGGCAAACTAGGGAACTAACGGAATTTGCATACATCGTGGCATAGGTGTGAAGCTGCGGTTCAGCTGAATGTGCTTAAAAAATACCCTGTAAGCAATGACGAACCTAAAGGCTTGGCAGACTAAATTATACCTTTAACCTTTAATGCATAAGAACATTGCATTTAAATTAGTTTTACTTATATTTTTTATTACTTAGTTCTTTCTACTTCATTTCAGATAATGCAGGAAAGATTTGCAGCTATCGCCTCTCTATGCAATTCTCATGGATTTTGGTAGGTCTTTCAAACCATATTCAATTTTAATTTAGACATACTGAAGCAAACTCTCCCTTGCCTCCCTTAAGCCCTGCTCTATAAAAAATTCCAATTCTGCGATTTGCAAATTTTAATCAGAATTCATAGTCCACGCTCGGGTCAAGCCAAGTTTGAATTCATAGCTATGTAAATTCGTGAAGTTTGCTCTGGACAGAGCCCAGTTGCTGCTGCTGCTGCTGCAGCAAATTATTCAAAATGATGAGCGTTATAATTATTGTATATATAATATATATTTTATATGTATGCATGTGTGTGTGTGTGTGTGTGTGCTGCTTAAACTAAAATGTTACATAATACTACATTTATGGCGGAATATGTAAATGGAATATGAAATGCTTAGAATAATTTCGCAGCCAAGCATTAAATTAATTTTTGTATTTCATTTTTTGTTATTCTCTGCCAAGCGAAAGTGCAAAACAAAAAGAGAGGTAGAGCGCTGCACATGGGCGTGACTGACTGCGTAATACTCGTTTGCGACGGCGAGAGAGAGAGAAATGGAGAGATCAGCAGGAGGGTCTTTATATCTAATGAAAGGATTTTTATCAGAGCAATGCTTGAAAATAGATTAAGTTTAGGGAAGTTTATGGACCTTAAGGAGAGTCTGGGGACTTGTATACCTATTATTATTTCAAGCTATCGAGTATTCGGAAAGACTTTAAAGGATTGTTAGAAAGATATGAGCTGAATATTAGAGCAAACCCAATATGCTTGCTTTTTTGCACTTGAGCGCGTATAAAGCATAAATATACAAACTGCACTTTGGTGAGCTGCTACTGTTGCTGAGCGCTTTACTCTGCTTTTCTGCTTACCCTCTCTCTCTCTCTCTCTCTCTTTGTCGCTCTCTGCCGGTGTTTCCTTCTCTTTCAGCGGCTATAAGTGTGCGAATGCCGCAAACAAAATGATGATGCACGAAATTCCCCAAAGCAGCTAGCGACCCTGAAGTACACACCAGCACGCACACACGCACACCCTCGCACACACACACACTCGCACAGATACACAGTTAGAGCGGGGTCATAAATGCCATTATTATTTGTAAACATTGCGACAGCGAGTGGCCCAAATTGTTAACTTGGCTA